GAAGTTTTACTGGGGCTAAGAAAGATAGAGTGGCCCCTGAGAGTCCACACACAGGACCTCAGCTTTCAAATAGCCTGGGATAGGAGAATTATGGGGGATCCAGAGCCTCAGACAGGCCCAATGATCTAGTGTCTTGAGGCTGGAGTAGCTCCAGCATTATTTTTCCTGGAGAGCTTTGAAGTGTCCTGGGCAAGAACAAATTTACCCACAGGTGATGGTTATTTGAGGGTAACTGGAGAGCTGAAGAAACATACAAAGGACCAGGACACATCCACTGACTTGAGTTTCCTTGCCTCCAAGAAGGCGATCATGTTCCAACCCCAATCTCTTGCCTCAAGAGGAGCCCATTTCAGCGAAGTTACAGAACTACTTGTAGTCCCTGCCTTGCATTCTCTGCACTTTCTGTTTTGTTTTCCCAAAGATGGAGGGAGGCCCACTTTGGCCTTGGTTCTGCTACCTCTGTGGGGCTATTTAAGTGCAGATGCCATTCCCCATCCTCCACCCATGAGAAGAAATTCAGAGGACAAGAGATCTGTAGTTGGGTCCTAAAAACAGGCATTTCAATATGGATATGTATCAATTCTAACTTGCAATATCTTTTGTGGAAGGAATATCTTTTGAGCTACTTATGGCAATTTCCATAAGATCTTTCCTAGAAGAAAAGGTTCAATGGGGACAAGGTGAGAAAGCTGTTAACTATTGTCTGGCTCTGAAAAGGTCCTAAGTCAACTCCTTGGTAGCTGACCTGTCAGAGGAAGGTATAAAGGCTTTATTCATGCAGTCCCTACAATGTTCCCAGCTCTCACAAAAGTGTTTATATGATTCAATTTTCTCACCTCTTTTCTTAATTAAAAAGCTGAACCATTAGAATAGCACCTGCATCCTGTCCTGACAGTGCCTGCATACTAATTCCAGAGCCTTTACAATCAGTAATTATAACATAAAATCAGAGATTGAATAAAACAGGATTTTGCTTCCAAAGCCCTGCTAATCCCCTTTTAAAAGGGCCTGGTGAAATAATTCAAAACAGTATCCGGAAGTTGGATTACTGCTCCTTTTCTCCCCCATCTTTTTACAATGAAATGATATTTCACACTTAAAGGAAGCTCTGTTTTTCCGCAAGTTTTTTTTTTAAATAAGTTTAATAAGGGTTGTTGTTTTTTTTTTTTTGGTTGGTTTGTTTGTTTGTTTTACCAATGGAAAGAATTTGACTATGGATTCTTTGCTTACTAAATGCAGTGGCAGAAAATGTAGGGGAAGTTTTTATGGCATATTCGCAACACTTAAATTTTCTCAGATGAAAGTGGGTATAATGAAATTCAGAATTGCTTATATGTATCATGTATCGGGCAACTCTCCTCATTTCTCTCAGTGGAAATAAATAACCAAAGATTTCAGGGACAGATGCCTATTTTTTATAACTTAAAAATATGCATATTTCAGGCAAAACACTCTTCACTGAGAGTCTGGGTGTATTTTTTTTAAATACTTAATGAATACATTGATGAGCACAAAAGTGGAGGCCTCCATTACACCTTGAGTGAGACTTTGTTATGGCCCAAACCAGGGACCTAGAGCTGTCTGCAGTTTCTCCCCAGTTCTGGCAAACAATGCTATCCTCATCTGGCTAATCTGATCTTTCATGGGCCAGCCAGCAGTCACAGACAAGAGAAAACTACATCATTCCTCTGATATTCTGTATAAATCATCTGATAATATTCTTTTTGTCCTACCCTTTTCTTTTTGCCATTATTCTACGACTTTGCAGTACAACCAAGACCATAGAATTTTGGTTTTTATCTTCTGCAGACATTTTTTCAAGCCTGCTAATTCACTGAGGTACAGAACCATGCATATCCCTCTTTTCCTTGTTTGGAATTAATCAATATTCTTGTCCTACTTATTGTCTCATATAGGGTCTACATTAGTTCTAAGAAAGGCAAAAATGCAGAACAATTTTCAAGTCCTCCTCTCTGATCATTTTCACATTTGATTAATTTGCACTCTGAGGTAACTTTTTTTCTTTTCTTTTTTTCTATGCAGGGCTGTTTTGTATGTTTGTAAAGCCATTGGAAGATTCAGAGGCAAATCCCAAACCTCCCCTAAACTGTCAACTGAGTTTCTCTTTTTCCTGTATAGTTTTGGGGTTCAAACTTGATAAACCTCCTAAAAAACTCTCAAGCATTTTTCTCATTGAAGATATCTGGGTAAAAAGGAAAGGCCGCCCTGATGCCCCCACAGAAACAGTGACAAATGGAACATGTTATTGTGGGATCCTCAGCCACTTGGTGACTAAGATGTTATTAATTTTTCCAGAATGAGGGTTCAGTACTAGAAAACTATTATTATGAAACAGGTGCTGATGCCTTCCTGGGAAGAATATGCTTTTTATGTCACTTTTGCCCAAATGCTCTGTACTTCGTCAACCGCCAACCCCCTTCCACACCTGGGTCTTGAAAGGCCTAACATGGGGATTCACAGTAACCATAGAGAATTATAATAAAAATAAATCAACACCTGTGCTGACCAGGCCATTCTATTTACTGCAGTGCTAGTATTTTAACAAGTTGTGGGGGCTAGTGACATTAAAATAATCAGATTTCTCCAGCTTATTTCTGTATCCAAATACACTTGATTCCCTGCATTTTTTCTTGAATCTTTTAAAAATAAATTATTGTCTCTGCTTCAGTGCCCTGCTGCACAGTGATCTGAAACACTCCCAGAACATAAATTCATGCGGTTTCAGGACCCTCGGCTAGTTTCTGGGCTCCCTGGAGAAAAACACCCTGCTACCGCCTGAGATCCCTGGCAATGCCCCATTTTCTAGGAGGATCTGGAGATCTTATTCAGGAAGATGCTACGACATGTGTCTAAAAGATGGAGTCATGTAAATAACAACAACAACAACAAGCACTTAACATGTAGATTTTAAATGCTTCGAAGGTTATCTTATTTAACCCTCAAAACAAACTTTTAAATTCTATATTACTAGATAAGGACACAAACAAGATAAGGAATGTTTCGCACTTATTCTAGGGCACAGAGCCATAGGTGGACAGGCTTGAGAGACTGGCTTCTAGCCAAAGTCTTCCCACCATGCCAGCCTGCAGTTTTTACCTGGCACTCGTATTCTAAGTCAGGAAGAGGAAGGGCCCAGTAGAAATCCTTAGCAGGCTAAGATTTCCCTCCAATTGCCCTCGGGGCGGCCACTGCGGGGTGGAAGGTGTGTAACTTCCCCAGAAGACCAGGGAGTTTGTCTCTGGGGTAAGGCTAGCCAGGGGCACTTGGGAACTAGTGGATTCAGCTCCCTGTCAAAGATCACACCGTTCGAATCTCTGCCAAAAATAGTGGTTCAAAGGAAGCCTGAGCCCTCCCAGGGGCAGGGGCGCTGAGGTGTCCCAGGGCACTTCCTCTTCCTCTCTTCCCTAATCCCTTGATTCCACCGTCCGAACTCTGACTAGACCTGCCCATCTCCAAAACCCACACGGAGGCCCCGCAGCCTCCCTCCGCGGACTGTCTTTTCAGCCCACGTCCGGAAGTGGCCCGGCTCGCCACGCGCGGTGGCCCGGGCGGCAGTGCGCCGTCCTGGGCGGGACGGAGAGGGGCAGGTGGAAGGACGCGCCTGTAGCTCCTGGCGCGGCCCTGTGGACTCGAGGCAGCCGGGCCGCGACGCGGAGAGCCGAGCCGGGGCCTCGGAAGAGCCTTGGCCGGGAACGCCCGGGTCCCTTCCTAATTCCTACTTGCTCCCCACCGCACCGGCTCTGTCGGGGAAAGGGCCTTAAGGAGTGGTCTCTCGCCAAGAGGCCAAGTTGGGGAGACCCACGCAACAGGAGAGAATCCCTCAACTTGTCCCGGAGCCACAGGAGGGGGTGCCTGCAGCGAGAGGGGCCGAAGGGGACGCTGAGCCCAGAGCTAGCGCCCCAGTGACCTCCTCCCTCGAGGCTCCCACCGACCCGAGTGTCACGGCGGTCCCAACGGCCTTCCCCTGGCGGCCGCTTTTTTCACAGCCGCACGTCGCCCTTTCGTCTTTGCGCGCTGGGGTCCCTCCCCCAACCTTGTCTTCAGCCTTGGCACTAGGAGCTGGGTCTCCAACATGTTCTATAAGGACACCCCGCATTCTGAGCCCAAAGCGGCCATCCTTTCGCGAAATGCTGCCCGGACCGCAGCCAGGCCGGCGGGAACCTACCCCTCACGAGTTGAACAGGGGCCAGCCGAGCAGAACTCCGCGCCTGCGCAATGGGAGCGACGAAAGGGGGTACCTGGGGGCCTCAAGGCTCCCTCCCTGCCGGGAAGTGGAGGAATTTGGGGCTTCTGAAAAATCTGAGATCATTTCTCCAGTGGCAGTGCCAGATAAGAGAGCCCCTGCAACAGATGCTAAACCCCACGGAATCCAGGAAAGGGTCGTGAGGGCTGTAGCCACATAATCTGAGGGCTTGGCCCTTCGCAGTCCTTTGAATATCGCTCTTCCCGGAGGGAGTGGGATCCAGCTCGGACCCTGCAGCCAGTCGTGCCCCACATACCCCTTCAGAGGTTAGGCAGGATTGGAGCCAGCCTGCCTGTGTTTTTCTTGCCTGGTTTTTTTTATTCCTGTCAACTACTAGGCTTTTCTCTGGAAAGGTAGAGGTAGTTGGTGAGAGGTGAGAGGATGCCCGGGGAGGCAGGCCTTCCGGGAAGACACTGAGAGCATTCTACCTTTTTTTTTTTTTTTTTTTCCTGTAATGGAAATCTGTTGATGAGTGCCAATGTCACTGGGGTTAAAGTGAGGGTGGGAGAGGTCTCCTCCACGATGGCCATTTTGGTGGGTCTCTCCGATTTTCAATCCCAAACAATTGGACTTCAGATATGTTCCTGTGAAGCCGAGAGGGAAAGCAAGGGAGAGGACTGGATGATGAAGCAATAACAAGACACTCAGATTCAAAAGAGGAAGAAAAACATCACATTCTTTATTTCCAAAGAAAATAGCAAAATGGAGCTCCATGTACACAAAAGGCTTTGGAGGGAAAAGCATCACATTTTAATTTATTTTTACATATTTACAGCAAGATTAAGCCACTGCTTTCAACTGTGTTTTCATTTAACAATCATTTTCCGTCAAATACTATGTAACAACTTTTTTTCTTTGCAGTTAGTTCATAATTTAGGATGCTAAGGGGACAGATGATAAATCACAAACAGCATGGGTAGAGAGGGTACTAAACAGTCTAAGGTTTCAGTCAGGTCTTTGCGTGTGTGAATTATGATTACAAAACATTTGCCTGTCTGTATAATTCACATTTATTGTAATCATTACATTTTCCCATAAATTAGCAATATAAATAAACATATGGGGACCTCAAGTAAGAGACTAAAAATCAATGTAAGATACAACATTTTGCTGCCACTATTATAACAGCATGGGTTACAGCTCGGGGAAACTTCTTACAAATCATTTAGTCAGCACATGAAGTAGAAAGACCAGAACATCCTTGTTTATTTAAACCACCTCTAAAACCACATGAAGGGGGTTTGGGGAAAGATGGACCGGGTAAAAGTTTCTTTCCTGTGTACAATATAACTTGAAGAACTGCATATGTGGATGGGAGGGGACATTTGCATGCATTCTGGGGTCACTATCTTGTAAACTGAATCTTCTGAACTCCAATTGCCACGATTCTGAAGAAAACAGGAAATCATAAGAATGTCTCTCCCCCTCATGCCACTCTCCCTTCTATTAATGGCAGAAAAAGCTTGCTGATTGCTGCTAGTGAGGAAAAACAGAAAATCATTCTATTTTTAGCAGAGATTGTCTTTTAAGGAGTAGGAAATATTAACAATAACTTGGGCAGACTTAGGTTCCAAGGATCCTGGGCAAAAATACTGGGAGCTCAAGGAGGCCCCATAGGAGGCTCAGGTGAGCTGACTTGGACTGATTGAGTGCAAGCCAGAGCATACAGAAGCCTACTTGCATGTGTCAGATACTTTGCAAAGGGTCCCTCAACATCTGCACACCTCCACAGGCCTTGGACCTGACATCTCTGCATTACTTTTGTTTTACCCTTAGCAGGACTTAGTCCTAAGTTATCAGTTAGTGTGCATGTCTTTTTTTTTTTTTTTAAGAAGTTTGATTTTTATCTCTTTAGAAACGGTTTGAAACTAACAGGGCAGACGGAGTTTGACAGAGAGGAGAACAAATCGCTGACAAAGAACCTTTTACGTTTCATCAGCGTTGTTAGGACAACAGGCAGGAATGTCTCAGATAATAACTCCCACTTCAAAGATTTCTCAACTCAATAGAGAGCGGACCATCCTTTTTATTCAACCACAAGGACTGGCACTAAAGAAGACTCCACTGTTTGATTTTTTTTCCACCATGTTTATTTTTCCCCTATTCACTGGGGTACTTGGATAAAATAAACAACATGACAATTAAGGAAACATGGACTTCTAACTTTCCAGCTATCTTCCCTGTTCCCTTGGCCTTGTGCTCTTGAGCTCGTGCCCAGGGCCAGCCCAGGCCTGAGGGGTACCATACACACTACTATAGGGAGAAGTAAGTTTGGGGAGACACAGGAGACTTCTGGGATAGAGGAGATGAATGGGCCGTGCTGGGGGCCAAAGTGGAAATGTCCGAAAGCCACAGTCTGAACTTTCCAGACTCATCCAGGTGGCTCTCTTGACCTGCAAGTCCCATTCAAATTCATACCTCCACCTTGCTCAAGATGCAGAGAGGTGCTTTGCACAAAAACGAGCTGCGGGTGCTCATTTGTTCAGCTTCTGAGGTTGCCCTAAAGTTATTTACTCCTGACCTTGCAGCCTCTTAGAGGAGCAGCCAAGGTGTGCGGAGTCCGGCTCCGCCCTTTCCCGCAAGTGTCGCTGTCACCAAAGCGCCCACCTACATTCAAATGCAGGATGAACCCCTAAACATCGGCGAGGCAGGTCCTAAGGGGGAAGTATACACTGGAGAACATAGTGACAGTATTAAATGGCGTGAAAGCAAAGGTCAGCGCGAATGTATCTTAATAGAGTGTCTGCAGTGAAGTGTGCCGCCTTTGAAGCGGCCGCTCCCCGCGCGCATTTCCATAGCGAGCCTAACGCGGCATGCTGATGCACCGTCAAACTCACACTTTCAACCCCAAAACCCAACTCTTTGAACAACCCGAGCTTGATTAGACCTTTCTCCTTTTCTTTCCCCTCTTACAAACCATTTCCTCGCCTTTAGAAACTCGCCATCAAACCCAAATGCGCCCTCTGATCACCGCAGAAAGCAGAAACAAAGGGGGCTGAGCGGCGATTCAAGCGGCCTTTTTCTTCCCTCACATTATTATCCATTTTTATTATGATCGGGAACAAGTGCCCATTCGCGTGGGTTTTGTTTACCGGAAATTAAATGAAAATGATTTAGTCCGCGTCAAACAAAAATATATACTTGTATACACAAGAAAAAAGGCCTGTTAGACGTAAATATTATGTCCTTAATGAAAAGCCTGGACGGGCTCCAGGCTCGGCCTTTCAGGATTTCAGTGCGACTTGCCCATTGCCATAGAAATCCTAACTTACCATGAAGATGCACCGTGGCGAAGAAACATTGCTTTGTGCGCGGGCCCTTTGATGTCGCAAGCGTGAGATGCGGGCTCTCAGCTGCGCCGGGCGAGATTACCTTGCGAGCAACGAGGTGGACATCTGTAACAAGCAAATGAAAAATTAAAGGCGATTAGTGACCGACCATTTTTATTTTATTTTATTATTTTGGATTGGGGACGGAAAGGAAAATGGGGACTAGAAATAGAAGAGAAAGAAACGAATCCAATTTGGGGATGGGATAATTTTTAAACATTGTCAGAAGATGCAAATTCCCCAGATGCCCTCTGCACCATGGCTGGGGAACAAGGTTTGCTGCCCACCCAGCCCTTGACCATGCAGTCGCACGCTGAGCCCTATTGCAGTGGAGCAAAGAGGGGATTGTAGTCCCCCTCCCACAAGGACACTAAAGATGTGTTGGGAAGATTCTGGGTTTTATTTTTTTGGTTTTTGTTTTGTTTTTTTTAGGGAGGGGGATAATTAAAACAGTCCCACTACAGTTGGGACATTATTTACCTGATGGAACTGTGGGGCTGCTGGGCAGGAATGATATTTGTCTAACATATCTGAAGAGGAGCGAGCAGAAAATCCAGCAGAGTGGCCGGGCCAGGGCTAGTTTGCTGGGCTCAACTTTTAAAATTAAGCTCTTTAGGGGCTCTCCCTGGGTGAGAATATCATAACTCTATTTATATCCAAATTCTTAGGGGACTGAGATGGGTCTACTCATATTTTTTCCCCCTCTTCTTTCTTTTTTCCTCCAAATCTCAACAAGTCTTTCTGGGAACCCCCATCCTCCCCAAAGGTGGCAGACTGGAAAATAGGCTCAAATTTTTCATTCTTGGAAACGACTGCAAATGCTTTCATCTTCCCTGCCCCCAACATCTGGTTCTTTTTTTTTTTTTTTGGAGACTGAGTACCCAGCACATAAAATACACATTCAATCTAGACCCATTAGGTTTTTGCCTTTAAAACATTTATTATTGCAGTTCATTTCAAAACCCCCTTCTTCACTCTTAAAAAAAAAAAAAAAAGACCAATATTGTGCGATTTTTGACCATCACAGAACTGACGCGATTTATCCAGACACTGTCACCTAGGTCGGATCCCTTTGCAGTGGAGACCTCGGCTCAGTGACGTCATTGGCTCAGTGCACTCCCACCGCCAGGCAGCCACAAGATTCCACAAGCGGAGACCGGACAAGCGTGGGAGATGAGGAGAGGGTGATTGCTCTGCGGAAGCCTCAGAACGTGGAATCTTACAGCCCCTCTAGCAGTCTTTTGTCTGTATTTCCACCTCCTGCCCCAAGTATATAATGTATATACTAAACAGGCATACAAGTAGTCTCACATATCTGTGCTCTTGGGCCAGTTCATGGGGAAGGGGCACCAAGGGGTGATGCTGAAATCTTTTTATCTCCTTTATAGAAGTAATTGGAAACATTTGGATCTGAAACTTGCATATTTTTGTTTCAAAAGATAGCTGGGTGATGGGGAATTTTAAGGAAGCAAAAGAGGAAGGAAATAGGAGGTAGTGTATAAGTGATTCGAACTTTGGAGGAGGCTCCAACTGGAAGCTGGGAAAGGAGTGGGGCGTGGCAATCTCAGCGGCCCAGGCCTCAAGGAAAACAGTTCCCATTCTCTGAACTGCGCAAGGTCTTGGTGGTCTTAGTTTTGCCACCTGAACATTCCAAGATTGCACATGAACTCTCCTAATACATTTTTTTTCTTTCTTCCTGTCTTTACCCCAAACACTAGTTCCATGCTACCCAGTCATGGCAGTGTCTATGTGGGTGTGTGGGGGTGGCGGTACTGGGTGTGACTGTAGAAAACATATGAGTACTGTATTTACATTTAAAATAATGGACATTTACCAGCATCTTCAATGAGCTCTAATTATTAGTTGCTCCCTTCCTCCCTCCCTTCCCTTCCTCCCTCCCTCCCTCCCTTCCTCCCTTCCTTCCTTCCTTCCTTCTTTTCTTCCTTCCTTCCTTCTTTCCTTCCTTCCTTCCTTCCTTCCTTCCTTCCTCACCTTCTCTTCAAGCCTCAGAGACCGGGCCTAGACTAACACTCAGTGTACGCAGAGCAGCAACCACAGCAGCAGCCCTAACACCGGAGGCGGCGGCGGCGGCAGCGGCAGGGCCAGGTGCTGGCGCATGGCTTGAGGGTGCGGCGCGGGCAGTCGCTACCCGGCCAGCGCCTTGACACACGTACCATTCGCTCAGTTCCGCGCCACGCGCCGCCACCGCCGCCGAGGAGGCCACCGGGGGTTCACGGCCGAAGTCCGAGGAAGGAGACACCAGGGCGGACGGCGTGGCTGAGTCGAAGCCAGAGCTAGGAGGCGGCGGTGAGCGCCCGTGCACCTTCATGTGTTTACGAAGGGAGCTAGGGTGCGTGTAGCACTTGTCGCAGCCGCGCACTTTGCACGTGTATGGCTTGTCGCTCGTGTGCACGTGCGAGTGTTTCTTGCGGTCGCTGCTGTTGGCGAAGCGCCGCTCGCAGCCCTCGAACTCGCACCTGAAGGGCTTCTCCCCTGGTGGAGGCAACGCAGAGACATTAGTGCGTGTGAGCCGCGGCCGGGCTCGGCCTCACAAACCTCCCCCGATTTCTCTTCCATTATGTGGTAAAGAACCAGTAGAGATTTTCAGAAACCTTTGTGCCCGGCTCCTCAGGCCCGGCACCCCCTTCGCGGCTCGGAGGGCGCCTCCCGTGCGGCCTCCCGCAGACCTCAACCCCTCCCCCTCTCCTGCCTGGGCCTAGGGGAGGGTATGGAGGAGGAGCGAGAAAGACTCCATCTTAGTTGAGTTTTCACCCTGAGAAATCCCCATCTATTCCAATTGTTTTCCTCCAAATTTTCTCCACTCAGAGCCAGAAGCTCGTCTGTCCAGAGAATAGAGTTGACTAAGGAGCTCTCATCTGCTCAATTTAAAGTTGTTGTTCCAGCCAAACGTCTCTGTTTACTGCCCAGGGGTCCACCCCAACATACCCTATTCCTGGCCCAAATTGTTTCCTAAAGTAGGTTTTGTGTAAACGCCAAGGCGATGGGATGATTTAAGGATGCGCAGCCGATGCACACGGCATGTGCATAATGTGGATCGTGCTGTAGAGAAAGGTATTCTGAGCAATGATTCACTTCAGAGGAGATTTTTACAGGAAATGGAGCCCCCTCCCCCTTCCCTTCGACCCCCTGAGGGCAAACATTTAGCAGCATTCTTCAAATCTTGCCTGAACCGTCCGGGATCCCGCTACCTACGCGCGCCACCAATGCTATTTTATTACGCTGCTCCAGCGGCCTCCTGGAGAAGCCACCGTGAGAAGCCAGCTCTCCTAGTCCCACCTGACTAGGAGGTTGATTGGCCTCCCCGGACCAGCAGGTCCGGGAGTCTGGCCTCGCCGGCCTCAGTGGAGAGGCCGGTACGGCAGGATCTGGCCCGGACAAGCAGTGCTCCGCGGTGTATCAAGCAATCGCACCCTTGAGCATGGCGGCTTCGGTGTGACTGCAGATGTTGCGGTCAGGCCAGGCGCGTCCCTGCCGACCGCGCGAGGGCCAGCGGACAGCCAGGGTGCACCCGCGAGGGACTCTGCTCCCGGTGCGATGCCCTGTCGAGCCGCGGGAAGGCGCGAGCGCGCATTAGGGTGGAAATGCTGGCCGAGGACCGAGCTCCAATCCGGGAGCTCACCGCCGGCTGGATCCGCGGGCGAGAGGGGGAAGCAGGAACCCCGAGAGCCCGGAAGCCCCGGTTCCTGCTGGAGCCGCAGATGCTGCGGGATGGAGGGGAGGAAGTGTCTAGGCACGTTAAACAAGTGGATGTCGCCGGGAGCCCTGGGTAGAGGAAACCGCTACCGAGCTTCTGGCTGAGGAGAGAGAGGTGCACGGCTGGAGAACTGTTGCCTTTGTGGTTGCTTCTCCCGCGACTTCCAGGAAAGACGGGCGCTTTGGGGACAGGTTTGAACAAACAAAGCCACTATTCGCAAGTCCTGCCGATGCTCAGGGTGAGCCAGAGGTTTGCGCCCAACCCTCGCCTCCGCGCGGCCAAGGTTTGTGAGCCGGTCACTGCGCCCTCCTCCTGCAGGACTCTTTCTAGTACAGGGGAACACTGAGCGGTGCTGGAGCCTATTTCTGGGACACCGGTACCGTTAATAAATAAATAAATAAATAAATAAATAAATAAATAAATAAATAAATAAATAAAGAGACATGCAGATTAAATCAGTGTCTCTATTTGCCTCTTGTTTTCTTCCCTCTAATCCCTGTTACTATCTGCCAAACTAAAACTTTTCTTCCACCTTCTTTTCTTTTTTAAAATCCTACAAGAACCATGCAATTCAGGGCCTGCAAAAGAAAACAAGATTTGCTAAGAAAACAGAGGGGGAATGGAATTTAAGATTGATTGTGCCCCCTCCCCGGCAAATATTACCCCTAACAACTTATCCCACTTTGTTAGCGCCTCGTTGGACATTCACGTAAAACAAAAACAATAATTTCGTCCCAGACGAGAAGAGGCGGAAAAAGGCAGGGCACTGAAGGTAATTCAGGCAGCCTGGAAGTTCCGAGGCCCCTGGGAGGCCAAGTGAGGCTGCGTCCCCCCGCCCCCGCGGCCTGTCCCCAGTTGCTGGGGGTGCCCGGGTCTCCTTGTCTAACACTAACCCGCATACCTCCCCCCCAACACGCTGCTTCCCGCCCGCTCCCTCCCACTAAGTCTGGGCTCTGAGCCCTGTGGGTGGTTGTGGAGACGCAGGGTTGGTCCAGGGCCCTGCAGCCCGCCCCGAGCAGCCTGGGCTTGGGGCTGAGGGGTGAAAGGCCCGGAGTCTCCTCCCAGAAGCTTAACTACCGAGAGAGGCCCCTTCCCCAACCCCGAGCCAGTCCTGCCCGACAAAGTTCGGCGGCGGCGGAGCAGTTCGCTGGCGCCATTTTCTCTCACTTGTGGCTGAACCGGGTCGTCGCAGCGTCTCCGCCCCCGCGCGGTCTGTTCTCTACCTCGGATCCCCAGCCCTGCCTCTCTCTACGCACAGCCTCGTATGGTGGGGCGAGGCCGCAGCGCAGGGGTCCCGGGAAGGGCGCCAGGCGGTGGGGACGGCCAGAGCGCGGCTGCTGGCCCGGGTATCCCTCGCGGCAGCACCATTGTTCTGGGGTTGCTGTGACCGCCACAAAGTGAAACCTTACGGCGTGTGCTCGGGGCAGCCGCCTCCGAAGCCAGGCCGGGGATTCAGATCTGGAATAATTTTAACTCCGAGGATCATCAGCTCCTATTCGCCACTTCCGCGATTCGAGGAAATGAAACGCCATTAATATTTGAAAAGGCAATTATTTTCCTGTTGAATCGAGAACTGTCTTCATGAATAATTTGCAGTGAGGTCTATTGCCATTTGAGAAACATTTTGTTGGTTTTCTCCCCCCCCCCGCCCTTTTCATTATTTAGGGGAGGGGGGTTGAGAGAAACGCCTGAGTAGACCAAGAGAGGCTCTGTAGATTTTTTTTTTTTTTTAACTCCAGCGATAATGAATCAGGACTGCCAGTGGAAAAGACGCACTTAAAATTCTGTCCTGAATAGAAGTAAACCTGAGCCAGCCCGGGCACACTGAACTTGCTTCTCTGCTGTAGGTCGATTGCACTAAGAATTTAACCATTTTCTGCTTCACGGACTTCAAACAGTAGGCCGGCAAAGAGCAGTACAAGTTTGTTTGTTTAAAACTCCCCTGTCATTAAAAATGAGTTCCTTCTCTGGCTCAGGATTGCGTGTCTACCTCTGCGGTGCAGGACGCCAGGTTGTGGAGTAGCCGGCCTATGGGCAGTGATCAATTCCTCACCTCTTTCCGCCTCTCCCCTCCCCCGATGAAATTTTGAGGTGGGGGCGGAAGGGAAAAATGCTCGGGAGGGAGAGGCATCCTAGAAACAGCTCCGGAAAACCATACGTTTCCACACATGCTCCGGAAATAAACTGAGAGACGAAACGTGGACTTCGGTCTGGCCTCCTCGTGTGCTAAGGTCCTGGCCACCGACCTTCCCCAAGACTGCAGGGTTTGTAGGAGAATGCGGGATTTACCAAGCTTCTTTCCCAGTCATTTCCAGCCTGGGGGAGGTTTTTTTTTTTTTTTTTTTTTTTGGCTCTAATAATTGCCAATTATTTTCACCAATAATAGAGGTGAGTAAAGCAGAGGCCAGGGAGTATAAGTGGGGCACCAAGGTAGAACACCGGTCCCCTTACCCAGCCCCCATTCCCCCACTCCCAATGCAAAAAGAAAAAAAAAACAAAAAATCACAAAAACAAACAGAGGAAGGAGGATGATAACTTCTCAAACTTTGGGGGGGGGGGGCAAGAAAACCCTAGCTAAGTAGAGTACAAACATCTGGCTGCTAAACTAATTAATGTAACTTCACAGTCTGTTCTGGGAAGTGTGAAAACTTTCTCCTTGCAATTGCATTAATTAGAGATGCTTCTGGCCAGAGAAGTTCAACTTTGCAGTCGCTTGCCCTGGCTCCTTTTCTTTCTGTTAACTAGAACTAACAGATGTGGTTGACACATGTCCCCATTTCACTTAACAGCTCGGTAAATGACATTTAGGGCGATGAGTCTCCTTGGATCTCTGCTAAAGCAGAAGGGAGGGTTTCTCAAACGTCCCAAGTGTCGAGTCATCAAGGCTCCAAAACTGGGCCAAAGTCAGGGACGGACCCCAAATCCTAAAGAAGGCACGTAGGGCCTGAGGACCCTCAGTTCAGATGGCGATCAGGTTGTTAGGCTGGAGAAGTGCTCGCCAAAGAAACCAGGAAAAGTTAAATTGTTCCTATGTCTTTAAGACTTTGGGAAACAGTGCTATTTTAAATACCTTAAAATCAAACTCAACCAGCATTAAGCACACATTTGCACGCCCAGAAACCCAAGCACGTTCATCCTCACTCCCCAGAGCAGAAATACTATATTATCCTCTGCACTCTCAGCTTTGGGAACTTCTGTGATTCTAATAGAAGGGTGTAATTAATATTTTATGGACTTGGCTCATGGAAACACCGAAATATCCCCCCTCTCCCCAGATGGAACTTGAGGAAATCCAGCCCGAGGTCCCGGAAGAGGCCGCCTGATTCCCCAGAGGATTCTTCTGAGATAGTACCGAATACTGACCTGTGTGAGTTCTTTTGTGTATTTTGAGATTTTCTGATCTAGCAAAGACCTTCCCACACCCCGGGAAAGGACAGGGGAAGGGCTTCTCGCCCGTATGCACGCGGATGTGATTTACAAGTTTGTATTTGGCTTTAAAGGGCTTGCCCTGGCGCGGACACTCCTCCCAGAAGCAGATGTGGTTGGCCTGCTCCGGGCCGCCGACGTGCTCCACTGTGACGTGCGTGACCAGCTCGTGCATGGTGCTGAAAGTTTTGGAGCAGAGGAGCCGGGGCGCAGGGCCCTCCGCCGCCAGCCACTTGCAGATGAGCTCCTGTTTGATGGGCTGGCGCATGTAGCGGAAGAAGGCGCCGGGACCGTGGGGCGCGGCGAGGTTCATGGTCAGGTTCATGTTCCCGTAGCCGTGCAGGGCCGCGGCAGCTGCCAGGGCGTCGCTGCGGGCCACTGGTCCCGGCGCGAAGGGTTCGGGCCGGCCGTACATTTCTCCGGGGAGCCCCAGACGCAGAAGTCCATTCAAAGTGCCGCCGGCGGAGGCCTGGGGAGGCTGTTCTTGAAGGCCAGGGAACACCGAGGGGCTGGAGGCGGCAGCAAGTTGGGGGCCATGGTGTCCGAAGCTACTACCTGTTGTCGAGACAAATAGCGAGAGTGAGAACGGGTGCCTTGAGCCGAGCGTTCCACCTGGCCCGGGGGGCCGGCCCAGCCCAGCCACACCACGGCCTCTGCCTTCAGCGCGGAGACCTGGAGCCAGACAGCGGCGGCAGCAATCTGGGTAGATCGCGCGAGGCTGAGCGCCTCCGCAGAGACTGGGCTGGGTGGCTGCTGGGTAGAGCCCCCTGCCGCTCCATGAGCTTGAGAGGGATAGATGGTGGCGGCGCGGCAAGTAGAAGGGACGGTGGAACTCGCAGTGCTGAGTCTGTGGACTGTTGGGAGTCCCTGGGCTCTGCTCCAGAGAGGTCCAACCTGCCACCCAAGCACGCTTCGGCGACCAACTCCCTGGGGCGCTCGGGGTCCCAGCACCCTTCGCGGTAGTTGGGATGAGGGGAGTGAGGATGTTGTAGGTGGTGGTGGTGGTGGTGCTGAGGTGCCTGGGCCATATATACTAATTTCAGCGCCCAGCTCCGCTGGGAGTGGGCGGCCTGCTGCATCCGGGCTCACACTCCCCGGAGCTCTCTCTGTCGGCCAGTTCAGGCCACCGTCACCTGACAGTGTGGAGGGAAAGAACAACCACAAAAAAACTTCTGCAAAGTTTTTGGGTTTTTTCCCCCTTCAAGTTTTAGATTGTGACTCCCCCCCCGCCCCCCCCACTCTGTCGGTCTTGAAAGCGTACTTGAAACCCGTACACTACAGACGCTGCAGCGGGGCGCGTGAGGACATGAATAGAGATTCGGAGCTGCGGCCGGGGCCCGCGGAGAGGAACAATCGCCTAGGTCGCCCATTGGCCTGCCGCCCGGCCCGACGTCAGCGATGACAGGTCTCGCCGCGCGCGGACACAAACGCGCACACACACACACACACAACTGCTCCCGCTCCTCCTCCGGCCTGGCCCCCCATCGCCCCTCAGCATGTCCTGCTTCTACTGCTCATGCGCTCTGACCCGAGCACGGATTCTTTTCTCTCCTCCAGAGCCTCCTCCCCCTCCTCTCCCTAAAGCTGGGTGGATCTGCTCTTGGAAGTTAGTGGGTCTTGATTATGCCTCCGTTCTCCACGACTTTGGGGAGGGGATGTTGCGCTGCACACATCCTCTGGGCAGACTTAGTGTACCCAGCCTTGCCTGGGCTGATGGGCAGCGCCTGCTGCACAGGGAAGGTTTCGGCGGTTTGTTCCAGGAGCAAGGAGGAAAGGCAGTTGCACACTAGGCGGCCGGGAGCGAAAGAACTAGACTAGCAGCCCTTGAGCCTAATTTTATTTTCTTTCTCGAAATCTCTTTCTTTCTCACTCTCTCATATGCGCGAGCGCGCGCGCACACACACACACACAAACACACACACATACACACATACCCCTCTTCCAAAGCCCAGACCACATCACGCCTTCCAACTTGTATCTTTTCTTCTCCCCTCCCCCCTCCCCTTCTCTTCACTCCTTTGCTCCCGTTTAGTCTCTGCAGTGACTCTTCCAGGTGCCTGGCGCTCTCACGGAGGCTCGAACCCTAGAATCCCGCCCTGACCAGAGCCAGAAGTGGACCGGAGGAGGGGATGACCTGGAGAGCCTGTCTTCAATCCCACACTGGCCTCCAGAGAGGAGCTTAGAATCCCCCCAGCCACAAATCACACTGACCCGTAGACGGACTGGCCCAAGAAACAAAAGGGAAGGTAGCAAAAAGGGACACTTCCTCACTTCCCCGTCACTCTCCGTCAGGTCTCGAGCTCTGTAAAACCGTGCCGCCAGACGGAGCCTTTGGGAAGGGAGTCTTAGGGGGTCACTTACACTCTCAGCCCCCACCACTTGTTGCCCGTGGCCAGAGTCTCTGCCTCCCTCATGCTTGCTTTTAGGACTCTGAGCAGAGTGGAGGCCACCTTACCCTGCCCAGGCTGTAAAGAGGGACTGTTGGTTCATGGCCTCCTATGGCAGACGCCCTCTCAAGTTTCGGGTTCCACCGTCCTGGGGTGGGGGGTGGCAGGTCGGAAAAAAAACAACAACGTTCATTTCTGGTCCAGCTGAATGTGGCATAAAACGAGGAGGAGGGGTGAATCCTTTGTGCCCACCTGCTAGGGCCGGCTGCATCGCCTGGCAACTTGAAGGGCTGCTGGCCTTTGTCTTTAGCCAAAAATGCCAACTTAAGTATTTGGGCTTCTCTGGTGGCCATTGAAAGCATCCCAACTCAGAGAAAAGGTGTTTTAAGAGGTTTTAAGGCTTGAGTAAAAGACCTTGAACCCCTAGCCAAGGTGAAACATTTGGACAGATTACAGGGAACTCTGACTCAGGGTTCATTGAGCTGCCCCACCCACTCCCAGCAACAAGGTCTAGTTTTATACAGATAATGGCCAGTAAATAAATATTTCTTTTAATTTTAAAAAATAACTTATTTATAAAACTGTCAGATTCTTTGAGACTTTCTTCTTCTAATTCATTGTTTCCCTTTGGGGCACATTTTAGTGAGTGATTAACTTCTGCAACAATTTCCCCTAGCTTTGACAAATGCAGGTCTTTCAGCTCCTCTAGCCAGAGGAGTTTAAGGAATGCTACCAATAGATGCTGTGTTAGCATTAAAAAAAAAAAAAAAAAAAAAAAAAAAAGTTGAAGGAGAGCATTTGACAACCCAAACCTATCTGTTCTTGAAACCAAGGGCTTCCACAGCAGTGCTGAGGCTAGACTTTGAGGATTTGTCTGCTTTCCTGGCTTTTACCCTCTCCCACACAGTCATTTTCTGGGATTCACCCCTCTGCCTATAGGTACCTCCTCCCTTTGCCCTGCCCTGTTTTCCTCCTTTTTCCTCCTTCCTGCCCTGTTTTTTCCCCCTTCCTCTAAGCTGGGTCAGGCATGATCTCTATCTCTTGCGAGGTGTTCCTAATCTCAGTGACTGGTTTCAAGGCTTCCCACTGCGCAGGTGTCTGTTGAATGATGCAGTTTTCTAGGCCAGTAGGGGCTGAACCCATGCAGGGCTCCAAAAATAACAAAGATCAAAACTAAAGACCCAAACACGTGTGTTCCTCCCTGGGACCCCTTGCCCAGCTGTTTCTCCTAAGCATCCCTTAACACAGAGCTTAGTCATCTCCTCCTGTAGCATTCAGACTTAAGTGCAGGGCACATCTGCAGCAGTTGAGCAACTAAAATATTTTTTTTTCCCACCTGAACTTAGCTGATCTACAGCCTACTGTTTAGATGTTTGTCAAAGTCACCACCCATTTTGACTTCCATTAAAAATCTGGTTTGCACAAAAATGTATTTCTTAATATAAACACCGTCACCCCGCTTGCATCACAATCTTTGCATAACTGTACAGAACAAAGGTATTTAAGTCATTTTAGTCTGTCTACACTTTTTGAACCCTGGTGAGTCTAGTGAATTTTAATACTACTGTGTTTGTTGCCCACCTTCATAATACAACAAAATGATAACTTTCCATTAGAAAGTGGTGAAAATAAAGATGCTTTTTTTTTTCTCATCCAGGTTTGCAGACTCCTTGAATACTAAGCACTAACTCTGTGAACTCCAGGAATAAGAAGCAGGGTTTTTGTACACAGACACTGTTGGTACACTACACGCTCTCTCTCACCAACTTTACCTTGAAAAGCTTTGAACATGTGTATGGCTTTCTGTGCCAACAGCAAAAGGGCAGATACGTCTGATTCAGTCAAATTCACCAACAGTTACCTGGCCCCGTGGAACTCCCTCCCAGATGCAGCCTTCTCTTGAAGCACTGAAAACATCTGGACCCATCCTGGGCTGATGTTTCTTGAGTAGTCAGGGGGTCAGTCAACCTGCAGGTCAGTAAGGTTGCCTGATCCTTGCAAGTTCCTTGGAGCCGCAAGGTTCACTCCTTGTTTGGCTAAAGATAGCAATGGGACCAGGCATTCTCCAGCAGGGATATTTCCCGAGGGACAAAGATAGGGAGGGAAAAAGATCCATTTTACCCACTACTATTTATAAACAGGGAGCTTTGGGTGATGCCATAAAGGGTCTTCAAAGCTTATGTCTGGAATTAGCACCACAAAGCAGTATCCAGCTACCACAAAAGACAGGTGGGGCACCAAAGTCAGGGAGGCCTATTTTAGTTTTTAGAGACATTCCTTTTAGTCTCTCAGTGCCAGGTAGCAAGGAGTTCAGGTTTCACTGACAATTGCTTGGGCAGGCTGAGGAGTAGTATCTCCCTCGGTGGTGATCAGAATTTTCCTTTCAGAAAGTTATCTCACCACACTTACTCCCAATACCAAAGGTTTGGCTAGAGTATTCTTTTCCTTACCATTCTGGGGTTTATAGCATTACTGAATCCACTTTCCTGCTTGATTTGCAGAAAAAAGACATATTCTGCAGTCCAGAATCTTTCAGCAGAGGTCAAAGAAGTTCTGGAGCTTTCATGGGGACCTGTTTGAAGAACATTTCACCAACAGACCCTAAACATCCCCCCAGTGCCCAGAATCATGCCCTCACTACCCTTGTTTATCCCAGCCAGGCCAATGCAACAGCATCAACTAAGCTGATTTTCTAGTCCTGTTGTATAGAAATATGACATTTGATGGTGCTACCATCTGCCAGAGAGCTCCTCACATCAGTGGCTCAAATGAGAAAAATGCCTGACCTCTCCCTTGGAAATGAAAGAAATGAGGGAAATTTCAGATCCATAACTGGGCTATTTTTCAATTTTGCTCTCTTAAACAATGCTAAATGATGATTATCTGTGTTAGGTTATGCCCAACGCAGTATTCTATTAGCTAAGTGCTACTGCACAGAGCCTGGCCAAGCATAAGCCTTGTTGCATGGACGTTCTGTGTCTAGATCTGCAGTGATTTGTTCTATTTTTTGTTTGTTTGTTTGTTTCTGACCCCAAACTAGTTACCACCTTTTTACCACCACAAAACTAGTGCCAAATCTCTTCATCAGATTCCTTATTACCACCCCCAAATGTCTTCAGCTTTTCCTTGTTACCACCCCAAACTAGTGCCAAATCTCTTCATAGGCTATTATTCACAGACAGACTTCAGGATTCCTGCAGTGAGAGTTTGTCCCTATTCTTATGGGAAAGTAATTAAATAACTTGAGCCCTCAGAAGCCGCTGTATGTCCAGGCCCAGATTGTACAAAGGAGATGAGATCTATCAGAATTTTGGAGACATTCCTCCCCTTTGCTATGTAAGTTGGGGCTTTAATCATCATTAATGGAACGGACTATGCAAGAAAATATATTTGGATAGAATTTAATTTTCAAGCAATGATTCTGCAAAACATCTTTCAACAAAAGATTAAAAGCGTGGCTAAGAGATCTTTCAGAACAGCATTGAAGAATTAAAGTAACTGAATTTACATAATAGCCACACTTCTCTTGAGAATTCTGCCATCAAATCATCCCAAAATAATAGAAGAGAGCCATTTCCTGAGTTGTCATTTAACTTTTGTTAAGAAGGTTGCTTTTCCTACCAACAAAGAAGCATCTTGGGGGCAACCACCAGCTGGTGGTGTAGTTGAAATGAGGAAAACTAGATGCCTGGAAGGGGAAACACCCAACCCTAAATCATATGCTTATTCTAAATGGAATATTAAATTAAATTGTTCACAATGAAGGCATTCCTGACCAAGCGGCTGTCAGTCACTCCCTGTTCAGACACCACATTGTGGGAATGTCATCACCACCACATTGCAGAAGGCTGGTGTCCCTGGTAAAGATGATGCATATCATGTAAACCCCATCACCAAGATCAAAGTCTGCTTCTTTCATGGAAGCCAATACATGTCAAACCTCATTCCAATCAAATCGTCTGGAAATGAATTCAAGATGAATATGTCATAGAATAATGTGACAGTGGAACTGGAGAAGGTCAGGGGTGGTTGTTTCAATGAGAGAGTCATCAAATATTAATTCTAGAATGTCCAGATGAGTAGGCATTGAGGGAGGTTAGTCAGATACTGGTGGGATGTTGAGTAGCTGATTTGTGTGCAAATGCATGAAACACCAAGGTGGTGTTCGAAGTTTCATTTCAACTTAGGAAACATCCCCAAACACACAACCAGTATAAGCAAAAGATAAAACAAAACTTCTAACTTAAAAAAAAAATAACTTCAACAAAGCAGTATTGAAAAAAGATCTTAACTTACTTGAGTCTTTCAGAGCGTTTCGGTAAAGTCGTAATCGTTTCCTCATCACCAAAGAAGTCTTGAATCTCATTTTCTGAGCCTGTTAGGGGAAAAAAGAAAGAGGGACAGTCACTAGTTGAATAATTTTATATATGTTTGTAAGACAAAATTTTGTGGCCTCCATGTGTAATTGAAAGAAAGTGTTGGTTTGAAGAGTCTTTCAGTCTTTTTCGAACATTTTCAAATTTGGCAGTGAAAAAAAAAAGGGAGAACTTTGCTGGAAACTTCCTTTATTTATTACAAAACCATGTATCTTTGATAAAAATATTAAAGTCATCATCCCCCAATAAAATTTTTATCTGAAACACATTTGTTGATCTCCTTTGCAGGTACAATTAAGAACCTTTTCAGTCAGTCAGTCAGTGTTCAAACATCTCTAACTTTTAGAATTTGAATTTATTTAATGAGAAGCCTCCATTTTTTAAAAGTTTATTGAGTTTAGTGAGATGTAATGGAGAAGGCTGGGAGGCAAGCAGATTAAAAATTGAGTTGTAACTGTTGAAACTGGGAGGAAAGGAATTTCTTTGCAGATGTTGACGTCCTGTTCTGCCCTGGTGGTGCAGAATCCCTCATATGGCTGCTTCTCCCAGAAGCCATCTCTGGTTGATTTTTTTCAAAGTTAATATAAAATTCCCCAGATTGGGGGGGGGTATCATTTCTGTCATCTGGTCCTGGTTGTCTTATTTCTTATTAAAGAAAGTCAGAAACAACCTGTTCCCTCCTCCAAGATATTTACATACTTTTCAGATTCACTTTGCTCATAGAACTACCAAGCGACCTCTTAAAGCCTGAAACCCACCCCAGCGACCTCTGCATCTGTCAGGAGAGGAAAAGCAGTAGAGCAGCAAAACAGAGGCAATCCACCCAGCCCCAGCCTTCAATTTGGCCTAGAAAGACAAACAGTCATTGAAAAGGTCTCAGGCTGGACAAACACAGCAAGCCCTCTGTCAATGAGGAAGTCTGCTTGTCTTGACACTCCAGCCCACAGAACAAGCGGTTGTTTAACTTGTTGAACCACAGGCCAAATGCAAGTGGGGCTCTGCTATCTCAAAGGCTTTCCAGTTCTCTACATTCAAAGATCTCTTTCTCTCTCTCTCAACCCCCAACCCAGGCTTGAGCTAGCTTGGTGTTTTCACCCTTTCCTCTCCCTTCTTTTCTAGATCTGAGCCTGAGGAGTGGGGACTCGGGTAGCGGGGTAGACTCACCGGTTCCCAGAGGGTTTTATTTATTTTCAATTCCCTTTAACCAAAAGGCATTCATCCCCAAAGGTAATAAGCTTCTTCCCGCACAAATCAGGAGAGAAAGGAGGCTCAACTTTGCATTCCTACAGAAGAGTGGCATGCTGGGTGTCTTTACTCTAAAATTTCTTCATGGTAGGATATCTGGTGTGAAAAACATCCTGGTTGTTTGGAACTAATAGAATTTACTTCTTGGCTTCTGAAGAAAATGGGTGTGAATTTCCCTGGAGAGGTCTGTTCACCCACAATGCTGCCCAAACCCTCCATTTAAGAGGCCTGTGTCACTTCTACTCCCGGGTCCTGCAGTCTTTTGTGCATTACAAACCCACAGGCATGCAAACAAGTGTTGCAGAGGCTGGACTTCAGACAGGCAACTGGGACCTTAAACTGCTCTCTGTATCAGCTCCATCACCAGCCAGTTCAGGGAGCAAGGGTAAATATCTTCTCCTTTGGTTCATCCTCTCACCCTACTTAGCAAGCTACTCATCTCATTGAAGGAGGGGTGAGCGAATTGGGGAGTGAATCCAGCAAGGTCCCCTGGGCCTCTGAACCTGAGATCCCCACCAATCTAAGAATTTAAAAGCCTTAAAAATGCTAGATATGGTCCCCCTCCCCCAGTTGATCCTGACTTATCTTCTCATGCCAGCCCCCGCCACTGACTCACTAGTCAGGAGCACAATCTGGAGACTTATTAGAATTTGCCTGCTTTTCCATACCTTGAGAGGATGAGGTGCCAGTGAACCCTAGTATATTAACCGTGCTGGGGGAGAGCCAGGAGGGTAGGCCAGTGGGTACATGCAAAGGCACAATTTTTCTTTGAGGAAACTCAGGCTGCTTGTTGTGGGGTCACCTTAGTCTGTGTAGCTTATTCAAGGTCAGAGGTCACCTGCAGCCTGCTTCCCAAGCTAAGGAATCTAGCCCCCAAGCCTTCAATGCTGCTCCACACTGATTAACCTGTAGGCTCTCCCGAGAAGAAGGCATGCTCCCTTGTCCACCATAGCTCGGCCAGCGCGGGTGCAGAGCAGGTGCCCTTGTAGATGGCCTAGGAGCTCCAAAGTCAAAGCAAAAAGGACTCCCCTCTTTTATCAGCTGCACCCCGCACCCTCTGTTTCCCCTCCACCAGGCCCTCGAATACCAGGAAGTTGGGATGCGAGGATGGGTCTTGTGGCAGCCTTTTCTCATTCTTCTGTTCCCTAGAGGGAAGATCTCCGGTTTCCTCAGCCCGGGGCTGAAGGCTAGGCGACTTCCGTGTGTCCACAGTAGAGTTTGTATTAGTCGCCTGAAGGACCAGCCTGAATATTTAACTATCCCTTGTAACAGTCGCCCCCCGCCCTCCAAATCTGCCCACGGCTAGATGGAGGAAGGGAAGGTGGTACCTCCCTGTGGGTTGCTGTGCCGCCAATGTAGTCTGAAATTTTCTCCCCAAGGGAGGAGAAATATGACCTGGGAATCCAAAGGGGGTTTCCTGGCAGATGGTGCCAGCCCAGGTGCAACCTCTAAGTCCCTTCTCCATTCCTAAGATCTCGCTAGGTCTCAACCGTCCCCATGGACCATTCATCAACCCCAAGCTTTCCCCGTCAAGCCTTTGAGGTAGTGCTAGCTTTCACAGCCAGACCCCGTTCGGGCCTCTCTTGCCCTTAATTTACAGTGTCCCTAGTCGTCTAGGGCAGTGCCCAGAATCTTAGGTGGCTGTGGCCTGCTCCCCAGAGAACTAGTCCTAGCCTTCGTTTGCACTCGAGAGAAAGAAAGCCAAGTCCCAAACCCAAGACAGGCGGCGCGCAGAGAGCGGATCTTAGCGGTCAGCGTCCTGAGGCAGGACCAGGAAGCGCGAGGGCAAGGATCCAGCCCCGCGGCTGACCCAGCCAGCATCCGCGGTCACGTTGGGGCGGAGAAGTTCCATCATCTTTCTGCCAGCCAGGCTAACTTGGCTTCTTTGACCCTGGGGAGGGGAAGCCGAGTTCCTCCTGCCATCCTCCTAGGGGCAAAGCAGAGAAGCTGCCTTCTCGGGTCCCGCTTACTCGGCGCGAGGGAAGTTCAGGGCCACTACTCCCCTTCCTGTGCTCACGGTGGGACACCCAGACAATTTACAAGGAGATGAGGTAGGGAGGGCGGACCGGCAACCAGCTGCCCTTGGTCCCCTTGCGGGTGGGAGCTCCATTCGTTCCCCTTGCCCTCCTCTCCTGGGGAGAAGGAATGGACTCATCCCTATCGCTGCCCCAGCGCAGAAGGGCCCCCTCCTCCCCTCCCTGTCAGTGGGGTGGGGCCACTATACACGGTTGGGGGGCTAAAGAGGGAGGGGATTGGGGAAGAAAGTCTAGAAGGGCCTCTCCCCTAGTGGGGTTTGGGTGCCAGTGGTCCCGATAAGAGAGCTTGTTAGCCAACTGCTGAGGGTACGTGTCCTATCTGTTTGCCCCCTGGACTCACGCACTTACCTCGCTCCACCTGTTGCTGGGATCGCCTCATTTCTGCACATCACTTTGGGGTGGCTGAGGGGGGACCACAAACCCCTCCAAGCCTCTCTTTTGTGGTTCCAGTGAGGCGGTCATCCTTCATTTCTCTTTTTCCAGCTTTCGGGGAGCAGTTAGGGAATGTATGATGAAGCAGAAATGAGCCGTCAGGATGATATTTTAATGGCTTATATGTCACGTTGGTGCATGTGGCTTTGAACTGGAGCCGCTTTGGTTTCCTGCAGAGAGCGCCGCAAATCCCACTTGATAACTTCTACAACCCACAACTTTTTCCCCCTCCCCACACATTCACTCTTACCCTGTATATTTGGACGCGTTTCCTAAAAAACACTGTCTTGTCAACGTCCCCATTGGATTTTCCACGGACTGGAGAGGAGAAGACTGACTTTTCTTTTTTGAAGAATTATTTTTCCTCTCCCCCTCCCAACGACTACCCTTCCCCCTCATGTTCCCTCCCTTGGTTTTTTTTTTTTTTTTCTTTGAGAGGGAGGAGAGGTGGGTTCAATGTTTGTTCTCCCTAGTGAGAGCAGTACAGCCTCTAGAGAAAACTTCTTGCAGATAAGGTTTTTATAACCACATTGGAGCAAGGATCCAGCCTCCCCTGATAGGCAGTAGAAAACACTTTGTTCAAAAAAAGGTACATCCAAGCCACTCAAAGTGTATAATTTTTTTTTTAAACCACCCCTCAAGCCTGAGACCTTTTCTTTCATTCCCCATCCCCGGTCCAGTCAAAGTTGGTGGGGAATGCCTGGCTGCTGCACTCAGACTTGTTGCTGGGAACAAAACATTTGATTTTTGTTTTATTCTTTCTCAAATGTCTATTTCCCAGCACCAGCGCAAATGCTCGGTCAGGTCCCTTCAGACGCAGGTAAACCATCCCAGATACACAAGTCGAATTTAGAGCCCGGAGAACCCAGTGAAAGGGCAGCTCAGCTGGTCAACCCCAGGCGAAAATCTAGACGATGAAAAGACCAGAAAACCAGAAAGGCGAGGAGCAGCCAGCGCGCATCCTGCCTTCTTCCAGCCTGTGCAGCTAGCTAAGGCGGGAGACAGGGCAAAACAAATTCATTTTCATTTTCCTCTCTCCCAAACACTGGTGAGTTTTCTAACTGGGCCGCCAGTGAAAGGATGAGTTGAGGTTTCTTTGTCTGCGAAAAGAGTTTAGGGCTCCGATTCAGCTGCAAAGAAGCCAAATGAAGTTAGAAACAAAGAGCAAATTGAAGGATTCCGACTCTTGGCTTTTTGTGTTTTCCTTACTAGAAAATAATTAGACCTAATGAATATGCAGACACTTGAGCTAAACCCTCAGCCCGGGCTGCTGGGTTTTAAACAGAGCTGCAGAGAAATGCAACCTTTATCCCCGAAACCCCGGCATCCGTGTGCATTTTTTGAAATGCATAAATGTTACTCGCCTTAATTGATTGAGTCACGGATTTTTTTTTTCCTGCTTTTAAGTGCCATACTCTTCTACCTTTCAACAATCATTTTAATATATGGTCAATGGCTCTTTGTGGACGAGACAAAAAGCAACTACGCGCAGTTGTTGAATAGACTTTGCGCTGGGCAAAGACAGGTTAATCGAGGGCCGCATCGCGAAAACAAGCGAGTGTTGTATGTTTGCACTGAATCCAAATGTCTGCATTTTCCTAACTAAATCAAAGGGAGTGTTATTTCTTTTTCTGCTCACTCATCTGAAGGTAAGTAAATTTTCTCTGGCGATCAAAAGCCTGGTCGGCAACAAAGACCGCGCCCGCTTTTTCCACCGTCCTGGTGTGGCGAGTTGCGGAATTTCAATAACTGTGACAAGGGTGACTGATTTGTGAACTAAAAAAGGTTTGAATGTCACAAAATTTACATTGGTTCTATCTATCGGGGATTTAAATGCCAAAAAAGTATTCGGGGATTTCTAGGGAGCTTTGGATAGTCCTGAAGAACAATGGCGCGTTGGGAAATTTACAGTTTTACCTGAATGAAAGGGGCCCCGGTTGGGAACAGGAGTGCAGAAGGAGAGGGTCATCGGGGGGCAGACGAGGGAGACTAGGGAAAAAGGGAGAAAAGAGAAGAATAACACAGGAAAAGAAAAAAAGGAAAATCAGCAACAATGTTTCCAATTTACCATTGAAAAAAGAAACCTCAATAATCTGGAAAGTTAAGACCTTTCATCCACCTGTGCTTGTTTGGGGGTGGAGGAGAGGAGGGAAGCAGGAAACCTGATTGATTTGATAACATTAAGAAAATCAAGGCAATTGGTTATCCTGAAGAATCCCATTTCTTGTAAAGAGAGAGCGGAGTGTCCGTACTCCAAGATCTTAAATTATAAACAGGAGGGGGACAAGGCGAGAGGGAGGAAAACTTCAAAAGGAGCAAATAACAAAAGCCTCCTTTGCAACCCATGAAGAGGGGGGTGCAGAGAGGGGAGAATGAAAGAAAAGAAAGTTGCTGAATCGGGACATTCTGGAAGTGCCTTAGCTGTGTTTACCAGCCCCATCCCCGCCTCCTGCACTGATAGACGCCCGAAGTCGCTAACCGCTCCGCAAGAGCAGGTTTGAGGAAGGACAAGACAGATGAGAGAGAGGGAGAGAGAAAGGGAGAGAGAGAGGGTAGGGGGGAGAGAGGGAGAAACAGAGGATGGGGGGGAGAAAGAGAGAGAGAGAGGAGGAATGGGAGAGGAGGAGGAAGAGGGATAAGGATAGAGAAAACGTATGTGACTGCGAGAAGAAAAAGGAATCGTGGCAAAAAAAAAAAAAATTTTTTCATAGGAAGAGGGGGAAAAATTTTTTTTGGCTAAAAAAAAAAAAAAGTTGCTACTCCTGGCAGCCGGGTTTGTCAAAAGAGGATGTCAAGTGCTTTACAATACCTGGGATTGATGAGGCGGGCGGGCCAATGAACTGCGCGCGGCGTCTCGGCGCGCCCTCAGTTGGCGCGGCGACTGCGGGCGGGGGGGAGTGAGGACGCACCAATGGGCGCCCTCGTCAGCAGCACGTGACACCTCCCCCTGCTCCCATTCATCAAGGGGGGGACGGTGTCTTCCTTTCAATTCATTTATCTGCAGGAATGATTGCTGCTATCAGTCTCGCGCTCACCGCCCGGCTGAGGAGGTGAAAGTTTCTCCCCAGGAAGATAAACCGCAAAAGACAATATTGTGCATGATTTGAGCCTTTTCTTTGGCTTTTTCTTTCTTTCTTTTTAGCTCCCCCCTTTTCAGTATTATTATTTTATTATTATTATTTTTTTGGCAAAAAGCAGAGGGGAAAAAGGAGAGTGAACGAGCGAGAGAGGCGAGCCTGAGAGAAAAGAGAGAGAGAAAAGAAAGGGCGAGGGGCTAGTGGAGAAGTGAGGAGGGGCGTACGGCGCGAGGCGGAGAGAGAGCGAGCAGTTGCGGCTCCTGCGCTCACATTCCTCTATGCCACAAATCCGAGAGGAAGTTTTTTGGGGGGGCTGAGATGCTACATGGCTTTCCCTGGGCAGCTTTGACGCGGGGTACTCTCGGCAAAGACTGAGCGGCGAGAAAGTGCAAGCCCGGCCGGCGGGGTCTGCTTGGCGGGCGCCAGAGCCCGCCTTGCTCGCGGCCCGCAGCCGTCCGGCTTCCCCGCGCTTGACCAGGCGGGCTCCCCCGCGCGCAGCGCGCTGCCTGCGGGCTAGGACTTCGCGAGGTGGGTCGACTCCTCCTCCCTCCTCTTCTTCTTCCTCCTCTTCCTCCGCCTCCCATTCCTCCTCCTCCTCCTCCTGATTTTCCCTTCTCGGCGGGCGAGGGTGGGGGGGGCGGGGGAGGCCGGGGCTCGCCCGGAGCAGCCACGATGCTCCTGGACGCCGGCCCCCAGTACCCTGCAATCGGCGTGACCACCTTTGGCGCATCCCGCCACCACTCCGCGGGCGACGTGTCCGATCGCGACGTAGGCCTGGGCATCAACCCGTTCGCCGACGGCATGGGAGCCTTCAAGCTCAACCCCAGCTCGCACGAGCTGGCTTCCGCGGGCCAGACAGCCTTCACGTCTCAGGCGCCCGGCTACGCGGCGGCCGCGGCCCTTGGCCATCATCACCACCCGGGCCACGTCGGCTCCTATTCGAGCGCAGCCTTCAACTCCACGCGGGATTTTCTGTTCCGCAACCGGGGCTTTGGCGACGCGGCGGCAGCAGCCAGCGCTCAGCACAGTCTATTCGCTGCTTCAGCAGGGGGTTTCGGGGGTCCACACAGCCACACGGACGCCGCGGGCCACCTCCTCTTCCCCGGCCTTCACGAGCAGGCGGCGGGCCACGCGTCGCCCAACGTGGTCAACGGGCAGATGAGGCTTGGCTTCTCGGGGGACATGTATCCGCGGCCCGAGCAGTACGGCCAGGTGACAAGCCCGCGTTCGGAGCACTATGCCGCGCCGCAGCTGCACGGCTACGGGCCCATGAACGTGAACATGGCCGCGCATCACGGCGCCGGCGCCTTCTTCCGTTACATGCGCCAACCCATCAAGCAGGAGCTTATCTGCAAGTGGATCGAGCCGGAGCAGCTGGCCAACCCGAAAAAGTCCTGCAACAAAACTTTCAGCACCATGCATGAGCTGGTCACGCACGTCACCGTGGAGCACGTCGGCGGACCTGAGCAGAGTAACCACATCTGCTTCTGGGAGGAATGTCCACGCGAGGGCAAGCCCTTCAAAGCCAAATACAAACTGGTCAACCACATCCGCGTACACACGGGAGAGAAGCCCTTCCCCTGCCCCTTCCCAGGCTGTGGCAAGGTCTTCGCTCGTTCAGAGAACTTAAAGATTCACAAAAGGACACACACAGGTACGGAAACCTCTGTCCTTGACCCTCCCCCACTCCACCCCCCCATTCATCCCGGGCTTGGGACTTGAAATTCAAAAGTCAGTGGCCGGGGCGCACAAACCGGGCCTTGGTTGGGTCTGGGAGTCAGGTTCCAGCAGGCAGGCAGCGAAAGTTACGCTGGTTTTTAGTTTCGTGCTTGAAATTATGAAAAAGTATAAAAGGAGCAGACAGGAAGGATCCTGGAATATATATATATTTTAAAGAAGAAGTATAAAAGGCCAGGAGAGCAAAGAGACACACCCGGCTTTGCAGAGCCTTGGCGTGCGCGGAACCGGGAGAGGTTGCTGGCTCCCGGAGGCGGCGGCGGCGGCGGCGAAGGCTCCAGCAGCTCCAGCTGCAGGCAAATCTAAATCGAAACGTTTGCTTCCGGCCAACATCCCCCTCTGTGCACCTTAGTGAAGACTTTCCCAAAGGAAGGAATTGAGGAAATTGGAGGATATTGGGTGAAGGGGCACAAAAAGAAACAAAAACGAAAAGACAGAAAGGAGGGAGGAAGTGGTGAAAGCAAGTAAGTCGGCCCAGAGGAGGCTTTTGGAGGCTGTTCATATTTAAAGAGTCCAGTTTTAGTAGTGACCTGTTTGTGAGTAGTCTTGGGGAGTCAGGAGAGTCGGCGAAAGGCAAAGAAGTCCTTTTTTTTTTTTTTTTTTTGTCAGTTAGATTCTATGAGGTGGTTTACAAAACCATCGAATCCCATGCATTGGCCTTTAAAATAGAAACTGGTCGGGAATAGTTAAAAGAAAAGTTAGCGGTGAGCTCATGGCTGTGGTCTTGGTCCAGCAGGCCATTCTGGGCCCCTTGCTCCAACAAGGCCGGGAATCAAGTCTGCTTCCCTATTCTGGTTTTCCCGGGCGATTTCTGACAACCGCTTTGGAATTTTGAGTTTATCCCCGGGAGTCTGGGAAGAATTTGCGGCGCCGAGCTCTCGGCCCAGATTATGTTATAAAATGTGTGTGTAAGGTGTAGGGTGGGGGAGGCGAGGAAGGGGTGCTGAGCGTTAGGGAGGGGGTGCGGGCGGGGTGGGGGGGTGGGGAGGAGAGTAGAGCAAAACAGCAGGAGAGTCAGCCCGGAGTGTGAAAATTAGAAACCAAGAGCTAGGTATTGCCTCCTGAAGTCCTTTGGATAGCCACCGGCAGAAAAACCTGCTAGTACTAAGGGATCAGGGGTGGGGGGGTGAGGGGGGTGGGGGGGACCTACCAATAATAATGCCAGTAGTAGTAGCAATAATAATAGCAGCAACAGCAATAATAAAAATATAGATTTAATTGGATTAGTAGTTAAAATAATTAAGATAATTATAAATCCACTGCATATACGTAACTTTACTGAAGACCCGGGTGTTTGAGCTTGCGACCTTTTTAATATTTAAATTTTTTTCATTTGTTTACATTAAAATCATACAACTGTGGGACTTGTTCTAATCAGCCCTGTCTCTTTCTCGCCTTTCACGCCAGGGGAGAAGCCCTTCAAGTGCGAGTTCGAGGGCTGCGACCGACGCTTTGCCAATAGCAGCGACCGCAAGAAGCACATGCACGTGCACACCAGCGACAAGCCCTATCTTTGCAAGATGTGCGATAAGTCCTACACACACCCCAGCTCGCTGCGCAAACACATGAAGGTAATCGCGCCGCTCCTGCCGTCCGCCTTCGAGCCAGGAGCCCACTCCGCTCTTTGGCCGGGACCGGCAGCTTGTGGCAGCCGGGCTGTGGAAGGAGACGGCGAAGGCTGAAAGGCAACGGTTCCGCTCTGCTGAGTGGGGCTGGGCAGAGAGGGCAGGATCTAGAAAATGGGGTAGGGGAACCCTGACAGTTCTAAATGTGTTATTTAATAAAAAAAAAGTAAAAAGGAAGAGAACACTCGATCAGAAGCTGCGACTGAATTTGAATGTGGCCCAGATCCGGAGCTAGGGCTACGCCAGCTGGAGGACGCGGCCTGAATGTGCAGCCCTTGTGGCTGGCAGCGTTGGCAGAAGAGTTGGGGTCTTGCCCGTAGATCTGAGCAAGCAAAGTAGCGGCTGCGAGGTGGGGTGCGGGGGCACCTGGGGCTCTAGCTTCAAATCCAGTCCTCTCCTTCTCAGATCTGGTTTTCTTTTGTGAGCCCCTGGGTCTCTGTCCCTCTCTGGAGAACCGCCTTAGCAGGGCCCAGGCGGTACAACCAAGCCAAAGTCAAGTTCCACTAGTGAGGCCTCCGCGGAGGTCGAGGGAATGCGGGGCTCCCCGGAGAGGCGGAGCGCGGCCTTCACCCGTCCTCGGCGGCCGCTGCGCTGGCTCTTTATCTCCTTAAAAACTCGACTTTATTCCCGCAGGTCCACGAATCCTCCTCTCAGGGCTCGCAGCCTTCGCCGGCCGCCAGCTCTGGATACGAGTCCTCCACGCCGCCCACCATCGTGTCTCCCTCCACAGACAACCCGACCACCAGCTCCCTGTCGCCCTCCTCGTCCGCGGTCCACCACACAGCCGGCCACAGCGCGCTCTCTTCCAATTTTAATGAATGGTACGTTTAAAATCAGAAACAAAACGCCGATCAAAACCCTATTTAAGAGACTGAACACACACGTATGCAAAATATTACTGAAAGAACACTGCGAATCAAAACAGCTCCCCTATCCCGCAATACTATTTTTTTGAATCTGCCAGTAGACCCGGGACCGAGTAAGAGATAAAGCACCAAATCTTTAATATCCCCCTCTTTTTCCTTTTTCCCCCCGCTCTTGGCATTGGCTTGGTAGCCAAGGGGCGGGGTGGGGGTCGGGGAGAAGGCGGCCGCCTGACCAAATGCTGCCAACCCGGTAGGCCAGTTTCTCATCAGAATTGGAACAGGCTCTCTGGGCTTCGGCTTTTTTTTTCTTTGCATTCTTGTAAATACAGAATTATTAGCTTAAAACTGTACTGTTGGATTCTGTAAATAGTTATATCTCAGTTGGATCGGGAGGGTGGGATTGTGGCGTTGTGGTCTTTGCATTGGGGGGAGGGGCCGGGAGGGCGGGGTTGGGGGAGGGGTGGGCGGCCAAAAGCCAACTGTTTGTACTGAATGGCAAGAATGTTCTAGTAAATGTGTACCAAAATGTGAATTACTTTGTACGATTACAGTCTCCACGTCGACCTAACAGAATATTATTGGTATTAATGTGCTTTTTTTTTTTTTTTGTATAAAGTGCAAACATTTCGTCCCAAAGTCTAAGTACTTTAGTGCAGTAAAATGTTGTTTCACGTTCTGTCAAGAATTCGTATAGTAGAAGCCTGGATCTGCGTGTCAAAACTGTTCCATTTGTTTATGTAAAGTGATATTAAAAAAGATATAAACTATAACTGTCAGTTGCTTTTGGCAAAAGATACAACCACATAATGTATATAATTCCTAGTTTCCATATTTATCCGCATGTAAAGGGCCGGTTTATTCATGTTACAGCTATTCAATATTTATGGCTAGAAGAACTCGTTATGTACACTTTAGTTTCCAGAACTGTTTGGTAACCTTTCGTACCTTATTAAAGATTCTTAAATCTCAGTGATTGTGGTAGGAATTTCTTCTTCACTCCCCCTCTCCCCGCCACCCCAGCAACCTGCTGCCTCTTCTGCCAGCCTTAGTAGTCCTTGGGAAAAGCTCTCCAGTCTCCCTTGCCTTCCCTTTCTGTCATCGCAGGTTGTATAAACGTGATAAATGGACGCTACCCTGCTGGCTCTCCGAGAGGGTGTAATTAGTATTTATATCAAAATTTATGAAACAAATTTTAGGCCGCAGTATAATTTAAATGACCTTTGCAGACGTGGAATAACAACCATAAAAATAACAGAAATAGATTGCGCAGGCGACATCAATATTAATGTAGACGAATTGTCAGAAGCTCAGGGCTCACTCTATAGTGTAGCAAATGAACTTACAGCAGAGGGTTCCACTGCCCCCAAATTAAATTCCCCAGGCTGAAACCAAGTTGCAGATTTACAATATCATATTTTAAATTGCTATCTTCAATTAAGCCATTTATGGCTATAACTAATTTTCAGGATGTCGATGCATGCTTTTCCAGGCTTTCCTTCTTTGTATAAAAGTAAATGTCCTTAAAGCAGTTTACTTATATATCTTTAAACATGATGCTAATTTAAATTAATTACTTTCTATGATATGTTATTATTACTATAATTTTACTGCTGTTATTAGTTCTCTTAAAAATACATCTAGGGAAGAGAATTATTTTATGTAATTTTATTATCTTTCTATCTCTTTTACTTATTTCTCATTTACTTAAGAAATTCGTTCCATTGGCTGGCATTGATACAGTAAATTTGTAAATGAGGAGACAATATAAAAAATCTAAATTACTTGTGCTTAATGACTGTAGCGGAACGCCTTTTCTCTAAATCAGATTGTCTTTCTTGCAGTTTAGTTTGATAGATTTGCAAGCTTTGCTGCTCCCTCGAAGTTAGCTGTGCTGGTAGGAATGGGAGCTTCTTTGTCTCTGGTTGTAGCTTGCATGATCGCCCCATTAAGCAGACAACGTAGTTGGAGATTACAAATCAGGGCCTTGGATGTGTCAGAGCAGGAGTCAGATACTGGCCTCACTGTGGACAAGGAAGAATATGGACCTGCTTCTTGAATATACTATGTGAGTTCAGGAAGTGACTCTGAGGAGAAAAACAAGTGGGGAAACCCCTCAAAAGTATGACAAGCCCTTAAGATCTTAAATCTATTTAAAAGTGACAATTTTTAAGACTATGCAAAACCAAAATGTTGTTTTCTTTAAAAATTATTTGTTGACTTGTTCTTTTATCTTTTGCTATTTGTATTCCTCACTTTTAGTCTACAAAGTTTTACTAGCTGAAGGGACTTGGTGACCTTTCTGTAGCTCATTAAAATCTCGAAATGGTGGTGTTTAACTTAAAAAAAAAATGTTATTGTGATTATAAGAGTAAATATCTACCTTTCATGGAAAGAGCGCCACCTTGCAAGGTTTTGCCAGATTTAAGGAGGTTGAACACTTAAGCAGGAATTGCTGCTCGCTCCAAAAATTTGTGAGACCCAAAGCTGTCAGTGTAGCATCTGAAGTGACTCTAGACATTAGACCAATAGTTAACAAAAATAGAAAGAGGAATAAAGATACCTCGCCTCTCTAGGAAAGACAAACACCTCAATTACTAATCTCTCCCCTTTTCATTACACATCAGAATGCCTGGGAGCATAATATGAGTATGACAATAATAATAATCATAACAACAACAACAATAGTACTTTTGTAACTTTATTAGTGCATTTAGGGAGATAGTAAACAAGTGCATTTTTTCTAAATGCGGTTTACTTCAAATTTGAAAATATGAATGTCTCATGATTTATGTACCCGGTGCCTTTTTAATTTTCATGTCATAGCGTAATGATTAAATATCATACTATGATATATGATTTAAGTAGGGTATTTAAAAATAAATTTTAGGGGTAAATGTATACCTCAAAAATACTTCATATTTTAAACATACTTTTAAGACTTTGAAGGCTAAATACTTTTTTAAAAAAGCATTTGAGAAGTACTGTGTGTGTGTGTGTTTGTGAATAACCTCGCTCACAAAAAAGGAACTTCTATGGTAGAAGCCAATATTTATGCCAACCCGCCTTATGCATTCTCTTCTGTAACATCCACCACAAAGAAAAAGTCATTAATGATGTAGGTCGCCTAAAATAATGCTTCAAACTTCAATGTAGTCTATTATTTTTGCTGGTACCTTTAATGTCTGCTTCTTGAGATGTATTTTTCATACTTTTCTTCATGGGCTATTAGGTTCTGAAATACATGAATGTGAACAGCAAAATATATTGTTAGACCCTATTTAGCAGAAGCTGAAGATGCTGCAAATGACTGGTTTCTGTGTGTAGCTGTGGATTTTGATTTAGGCAGAAAGCCGTCCTGATTCATATTTTGACTACATTGTTTTCTGGGTACTGTCAAATGATTAGAATAGCTAACAAGTTATTAAAAAGTTATATTGTGTCAACAAAAAAAATGCCTGAGTACAAGCAATCATATTTGAGAAATGAAGAGAAATGAGTTGTCGTATGTGTGTACATTTATAAAGTAAGCATATAAATATACAAGCACCATTTATATGGAGGCTAAGTAATTTTCAAACATTTCAGACCCTTTGTTTTGTTCTTCAAAAGCTACCCCCAACTGCTTTAAGCATTTGCAGCTGATGATTTTGATTTTTTAAAGTCAAGCATTCAAGTTAACCTTTAAGAAGCAAACCACCTCCAAAAGAAAGATGTAACCTTTCAATTGCCCCATATGCTTATCCATTTTTTTTTCTTTAGCTGACAATGAAAATAGCACTAACCTTCTTTACTGATGGGCCTGGCATTTAGATGTTTTTATTTGTTGATTGTGAAGTTTTCCCAGAACTTTTAAAGGGCTGGCAACAGAGTCGTACTCCTCACATACTTTGCCCAGCCCTAAAACCTTCCAGATACTCCCTTTTTGAAGTCAAGATGAAATCGCTGTCCTGGACCCCTTGCTAGTCAGTGCTGGCATGTTGGTACCTGAGCACACTGCCTTCCAGGAAGCAGCTTAGAGAAGGCTCAGATCCTTAAAAACATCATCAGTTTATGATAGGTTAGCAACTAAGTGTATGCGGTCTGACAAACTCAAAATGAAGATACTGAGCATGTGCCTTTGATTTTTTGTGGACTAGATATGAAGCCTTCAGATTTCAGACATTTCCTACTTACATTTCTTTCTTTTTTTTTCAAGTTGAAATTACATATTTATCTTCTCTCTAGGTACAGAATTCTCACTTCCTCCTAGCATCAAGTATGGATCCTAGAACTATGTGTTCATATTAGGGAAATAAAAAGTGTTGCTTTCACAAAGATAGTTATAGCTGGTATTCTCTGGTTTTAGAATTCTTGGAAATAGGATGACAATGAAAAGGTGTATCCCTTCTACGCTTGTCAAGCCACTGAAAGTTCACTATTCATGGTGTTCTCTTTTTCAGCTATTTATAACCTATCTCACCCTTAGTAGTATGTACCCATTTAAATTGGTTAGATATAGAGAGTAAGCCTTTATGAGGGTTACTATAAAGTAATCTATTTGGTGGGGGACAAGAAATAAGAAAAATATTAACTTCCTGTAAGACATCACAGTTGGACCTTTTCCTCAAAGTTTATTGCAAGTATAATGGCACAAAATACACAAAATATGGGCAATGTTTTCCATTACTCTATGCAAAGCTGGTTCACTCCAGACTCTCAGCCTGAGCAAGAGGAAACATGATAAGGCTAAGCCAGGGGCTATTTTTACTATGCACGCTGAATTCTGGCATTAGTTCCTAACATTTATTTCCACTTTAGAGCGAGCAGCTAAACTAGTATGAAGTTTTCAATTGATGCTGTACTGGAGGTGGGCTTTTCAAAAATAAGAAATTGGATTTAGCAATCTAATATGGAAATTACATTGGCAGTGAAGATGCTAGAGACTTAAGACTGTCACCAATATTTTGTCTGCCTCTGATGGTTTGCAGGGTATCTCTGCAAGCATATGCAGAATTCACGGCCTGTGAAACTTACACAGTGACACTTTCACTTACAGCATATACAAGAATCAACTATTAAGCGTGAATATAAACACATGGGAATCATATCTTTAAAAAAAAAAACCCCAAATTTTGAAGGTAAACGACCTTAGCAAACATATATAAAATGTGTCTGTCTTTTGTCTAACAATTCCCGTTAAGCTACAGAAAACATAAGGACCTAAAAGAGGTAAAAGAAGCTCACATCTGGATTTCTTTGAATTTTTTTTTTCCTGTTTATCCTGGAAAAATTCTAGCTTCTGGCAAAGAAAACTAAAAGTTGTGGAGGTAGGTAAAACCACGAGAAAGGGGTGGGGTGAGTGATTCTGTGAGTTAAGGGAGGTTTTCGTCCTGGAGAGTTTCTTGAAAATCCATGAACTCAGGCTTTG